CAGATGTCTTTCAGCGAGTTGTCACCTCTTCTTTTGGTCAATTAGCATGGCCTCCATTATACCATCAACTGCATAATGATTTTTTTTGACAGAAAGTTTGTGGAGCTGCAAGAAGTGTCTGCAGGAATTTGCTCCATTTGGTAAAAGCACATGCTTTGAGCGTATCCTGCCCAGGCTTTGACGGCCTCCTGGTGCAAATGTGTTGCAACACTTCCCATGGACACAATAAATACTCACAAGGCTCCTTGTGCCAGTCCTTGTATTTAGTATGTGTTTGTATTTATGGATTTTTTTTCTGTGGATTTGTCTGGTCTTGTTCCTAAACCACGTAGCATCTGCAGTGGCCCCCAGCAAGGAGAGCTGCTGTGTACTGTCTCCTCCTTGCGTTATCCCTGATATTCCTGTCTCTCCCCAACTCCCCCAGCCATGCAGATCTCTGTCTTGTGACCCCAGCTGTCTCTTTTCCATGCCAAAGATCCCTGGCCCTTCACGTGCCCCATGTGCAGAGGCCTTGGATCATCCTGTCATCTTTCTCTGCACATTTTCCAGCTTCACTGTATCCTAGGGAAGGGGGAACAAGGATCACACACAGGCTGGGACTGACCAGGGAACAGTGGCAACTCCGATGCCATCTCTCCTTTTTCCTCACCCTTCCTATCAGCTTGACGGAGAGTTTTGCAGTTTTGACCTCTGCTGAGTGCTGAGGGGACAGTTTCACAGACTGTCAGATCTCCCAGTCCCAGAGCCCATCACATTAGACATGAGCCTGGGCTTGGTTTCCCCATGTGTGTCACTTCCCTGACCCTGGCTTTTGTCTCGTTTCATTGCCAAGTTGCTCAGCCTCTCAAAGTCCTCCTGCAATTCTTAGCATGCATCTGCAGTATCCAGATTAATTCAATATTATTGCAGATTTTGCCACTGACCTCATCTCATCAAAGGACCTGCGTGTGGAAATGCAGGAACCTCTCTCTGCTGGATCACCCTCAGGGGCCTGCTGGCTTTTTCCAAGAAAGCCACTAGCTTTTGAAAAAAGAAATTTGCTGCAAGAGAGCCGTGTCGACTCTTCCCCACTATGTCATATTTATCCATCTGTCCCCTAACGATGCCAGTTTCCTCCTTCGTGTGCCAATTTTTGTTCATTTGCAGAGAACAGATGTGTCATTTATCAGTCTGGGACTCCCTGGCTGCCGGGAAGCATTTCTGGTGTCACAGTTGCCACCTTCCAGTCCTTGCGTCTCCTGCTGTACCCAGACCTTGAGGGAAGTTGGGGTCTCACCTGGCAGATGTCACATCCTCCTGGTCCCTGCTGTGCCGCACAACGGGGTGTATGTGGGGTGCTCCTGGGAAGGGAAGGAGCTGCAGTCACCAACAGACATTTCAAAGCTCCTGGGAATGGCTTTTATTTGAAGCTGTGGAAGAAATACCTGGAGATTCAAGGAGCTGTAGGCTTCCCTGGCAAGTCAGGGGAGATGCTGGCATCAGGGGAAGCAGCCAACCCAGCGCCTGACTCAAGTGACACGCTGGCAAGTGTCAGATTCAGCCCCCACATTACCTGGGGGTGAGTCATCCGGGAGTGTGCAGGAGCAGAGACCTTCTCCTCTGAGTCACCGGAAGCTGCTGCCTGGGGGATGCTGGGCTGTGCCCACACCACCTGGGGTTAAACTGGAGGAGAAGGTTTACCAGGACGATGTGGCATGAGCCCTCCTAAACCCAGGGAAGGTCCTGTCTCCTGTTCTTGGCCTGGCTGACAAACAGGGCTCCTGTCCCCAGCTGCAAGTGAGCACCAGAAGCACCAGGGTTCAGCCAAAGCAGCTCCCTGGGCCCAGGGGGACAGACGAGGGCTGAGGACACACACAGCTCTCTGCTGGGCTGGCAGGAGCCTGGAAGACATTGCCTGGCTTTTTCTTCCTGGTGCGTGCTCCGACCTGCCTGGATTTACCCAGGCAAGCAGCTACTGCTGCCTTTGGTGAGAGGAAGGGCCATGCTGTGAGAACCAGCCCAGAGGTCTCAGCGAAGAGCTCCTGGACCCTTCAGAGGTGGAGCAGAGGGTGGGAGCAGAGCTCCCAGTGCAGAGGGCCACTCCTGTGTCCTTGCAGGCCACTGCAGAAGGCCCTCTGCCTCCCCTAGTCCGGTGGTCCATCAGAGTGAGCCACAAATCACTCCTCTGCAGCCATGGATTGTTCTCTTCCCACCTGATGACTGTGTGTGAGCGGCTCCATCACTATCCTTCCCTCTTTGCTGGGGGCTCCATGGGCTGTGGGCAGTGCCAGGGCTGCACATCCCACCTGGTGGGGCTTCCCACCACAGCTGTGCGAGAGAGCAGCTGAAATGTGGAGTCTGGCACACGAGTGGTGCAGTGTGTGCTCCCCGATCCTCTCCTGTCTGCCAGTCCTGCCCCTGTGCCCTGCCAGTCCCTACACCCGCGATGCTGTGACAGCCATCTGTCACGGTGAGCCGCGGTGACTCACAGGCAGAGAGGCATTGTGGTCACCCTTGTGGTATCGGGGACAGTCTCTACCATGCAGGCATCAGACCTGGGGCCCAGTGTGCATCAGATATGGAGCGTGTAAACAGTTGGGATTGGAGCAGCATCAGCTGCAGCACAAGCTGCAGATGGAGCCTGGCTTTGATGGTGTGAAAGCAGAAATCTGTCACTGCTCCTTCAAACCTGAACCACTGCGAGTGGAGGGATGTCACCAGGGTCTCGTTGTGACTGTAGAAAAAATATGAGCAGCTCGTGCCTGTGCCAAGCCATGCGGGGCATAAGGAGCTCATTTGGACTCCTTCTGGAGTTTCCTTAAAGGTCCCCAAGCACAAAGGAGGCTCCCAAGGGGGCTCCCACATCAGATGAGTTCTCATCACCTGATGCCCTGCTGCCTAGGTAGTTTTGTCCAGGGGAAACCAATATCCAAGGGAAGCTCAAATCTGAGGGCTCAGCTGGGACCAGGGATCTTGATGCCTCTCCTAGCTCTGCTGAAGCCTGAGGTGAGAAGGTGATGTCCCATGGGGCACAGATCAGAGAACAGGGCTATGTTGGGCCAGCTTGGAAGAGAAACAGGCCCAGCAAATGGTGAGGAGGTGCTGGGTCCTTCATGAGCTCAGACCACAGGCCCTCATTGAATCCCAGCATGGCCTTGGCACAGCTGCCTCTCCAAGGAGGGAGGGATGTGAGGGATGTGCCAGGACCGGATGGGAAGGAAAAACCTCTGCAATTCCTCTGGTATGGTAGTATTTAAAAAAACCAAGCTTGATCCCTCCTCGGTTCTCTCTCTGGATACACTGAGCGTGTGTTTTCCAGGCCCGAGGATTTAACAAGAGCCATCTCCGACAGATGTTGCTGAACATCCTCCTTGGTTACTGACAGAGGGTGGAAGTGCTCTCAATTTCTGTGCCATCAGCCCTGCATCCTGCTTCCTTCCAAATGCTGGACAGGCAGATTTATTGAGAATCTCTGTCTTTTCTGCATTTTAATAACAACCTCATCATCCCCATCTGCCAGGACTGAGGTCTGCTGCTAGACCTCAAACAATGCCTGGTGATCACTCTGTTTCTGGCAGACGCTTTTTTTCCCTCCTGATGCCTTTTGTGTCTTGCATTCCCTATGCTTTGAAATTTCCAGTGTGTGCTATGGCTGTCTTCTCCCTAGGGAGGAAGCTCCCTTGGTGTCCATTTGGACCCAGGGGATTTGTCTGGGTTTCTTGGGCAGGAGTATGCTTAATAACTCAGCAAACCTGGGACCTGGTGGGTTCCCTGGGCATGTGTTGGGCATGTGCTGGGCATGTGCCATGCCAGGCTGGCACAGGAGGCTCAGTTCCATGGCAGCCCCATCCCCGCTCTCCTCCTGCACAGGGCTGGAAGGAAGGAGGTCAGCACGAGAAGCTTCTGTCCCCAGCCATCCTCTCCTCCCAGCAGCAAGCACCCTGACAGCCACATCCCAACATCTGGCCCCACAGTGAGGCTGCAGCATGGCTCACAGTGTGAAGACATGTAGGAACACACCGTGGCATCTATCCCTGCTCACTGGATGCCTCCGCATTGCTTTACCTCTGCAGAGGTCTCGCTTTTGGAGCATCCTACCTCTGGCCCCCTTCTCTCTTCATATCCTTCTGGGGATTAAGCCTGGGAGCAGGTCTGGGAGCAGGTTTTAGTGAATGGTGTGTGTTTAGGAAGGGATGGAAGGATTCGGGGGCGTAGGTCAGAAGACAGGGCTGCACAGAGTGGCTGCTTGGGCTTGGGAGGGTACACAGTCGGTCCTGGGTGGTGGGTGAGCAGGGTGGTGGTGGCTGGTGATGGCTGTGTGTGCAGGGGGAACAGTCAGAATGTGTGTCATCGTGCTGTTTGCTGCTGTGACCACGTCGGTCTTTGCTGCCATGCTCCAACACACTGCTCCAAATGCCCCGTTCCTGCTGCATCCCAGGGGATGTCCTCCAGCCCACGTGCTGCAGATCAGCCTTGCATGGTCGCCCCGATGTCCATGCACATCCAGCCTGGGTTCAGCCTTCTGCCGAAGCACTTCCCTGCCTTGTCCCTGCTCACTCCTTCCCGCAGTGCCAGCCTGGTGGCTGTTTCAGTGACTCTCTGGAGCGATCTGCTCCGGGGGTCCTGCAAGGGGCTGGTCCCACCAACACCTCCCAGGCAGCGGGTTTGCACCGCGGAGTTGGACTCGATAACCCTCGTGGGTCCCTTCCAGCTCAGGGCACACTGTGATTCCACGAGGGACCCTCTGTCGCCTCTACCTCGCCGGCCGCCTCCCCGGTGTCCCTTCTCCCGGCGCCGGGGGATGCCCCGGGGTGTCTGGGGGGCAGCGCCGGGGCCGGATCGCGCCCGAGGCCGCGCTGAGGGAGCCGAGAGCGCGGGGGGCGGCCCGGAGCGGCGGGGAGGGCCGAGCCGGCGCGGGCCGGGCGCGGCGGAAGGCGGCGGGGAGCGGGGCGGGCCCCGGGGGAGGCGGGCCGGGGAGGCCGGGCCGCGTTCAGGGCCGCGCCGGTCCGTGCCGGGGGGAGCGGGCGCGGGGCCGCGGCGCGGGCGGGGCGGGGGAGGCCCCGCACCCGGCGCTCCGGCAGGTGGCACTGGCCGCCTCCCCCGGCCGCCTCCCCCGCGGCCCCCCCGGCCCCGCCGCCGCGCTCAGTCCGCCGGCGCCGATGCTGCTGAGCGGAGCGGCCGGCTCGGAGCGCGGCGGCGGCGGCGGGGCGGGGGCCGGCGGGGCCCCGCAGTGCGTGGGCACCATGGCCCGCTGGCTCCGCGAGCACCTGGGCTTCCGCAGCGCCCGGCCCGCGCCCCCCGCGCCGCCCAAGCCCGACTACCGCGCCGGGCCGCCGCCGCAGCCGCCCCCGCCGCCCGGGGGCGCGGCCGAGCCGCTGGCCGCCGCCCAGCCCGACATCGTGGCGGCCTACCGGCTGCAGAAGGAGCGCGACTTCGAGGACCCCTACAGCGGCCCGCCACCCGCCGCCGCCGCCCCCGACGGGCCCCGCTACGTCTCGCCCAAGCACCGGCTCATCAAGGTGGAGGCGGTGGAGAAGGTGCCCGCCAGCCCCCCGCCGCCGCCGCTGGTGCCCGCCGCCCCCAGCTCACCCCCGGCCGGCCCCGAGCCGCCCGACGAGCCGCCGCAGGAGGTGAGTGACCGGGCATGGGCGCCCCGCCGCCCTCCCCGCGGTGTGCTGGCACGGGGGATGCCCTGGGTGACCCCGCCGTGAGGAGCCGAGCAGGACCCCCGGGGCAGGTGGAGCGCCCCGGTCACGGAGATGCCCTCGGTGGTCCTGCCAGACCCCTGGCACCCACAGTAAGGAGCAGGGTTAGGATCCTCGAGTACCAGAGGCGGGGGGGGGGGGTCACGGCCAGGCTCCGCGGGGCTCCCGTGCCGGGTCCCCCCGTGGCCCGGCAGCACAGACATGCCGGGCACACGTCAGCGGGGACGGGGACGGCCCCGGGTCCTCCTGCGGCTCCCTCGGGAGGCAGGTGGGAGCCCCATCAGGAAGCGCGCTCGCCGAGGGGCGAGAGCGCGGAGTTGTCGGCCACCTTCGCCCTCTCCTCGTGCCGTTTCTTTGCAGCCAAGTGCTTGGTGCTCTACGGAGGTGAAGACCTTCCAGCCTGGAAAGGCCCCGAGCGGCACAGGACCATCTGCGGTGGCCTCCGATGCTGGGGCCGATGCTCCTGGGCCTCCCAGCGCTCCGTGCCCGGCGGCGCGGGTCTCCCTGTGCCCCCGTGCCCGGCGTGCCCGTGCCAGCGGCGGCGGCCGAGCCCTCTGAGCTGCCGAGCTGCTTTGTCAGGGAGCCTCAGCGCCTCTTTGTCTGCCGCCTCTCCGCCGGCTGCTCCGGGGCGAGAGCAGAGCCTGGCGCTCCCGGCGCTGGCAAGGAGGCGAGAAACATCCCCGGTGAGAGGCAAGAGACTGGGAGAAGACCCCCGTGGGGAGGCGGGCTGTTAGTGGCACAAGGACCTGGTGGAGGATAAACCCAGCCGGGGCTGCGGCCGTTGGTGCCGAACCTCTCTCCCTTGGCGGAGAGGCTGATGCGGGGACTGCGCAAATAAAGGCAGGAGGGGTAATTAGTGCCCGCTAGCGCTGCCGCCTGCAAGACGGGGCTTGTCAGGCGAACTCGACGGGATTGCAGATCTGGCTGGCTGGCGGAGGGAATGGTGGATACAGTCAGTGATCCCATCCGTGGCCCTGGTGAAATGAGCACCAAGCAAAATCTGCTCGGGAGTGTTTTAAGCAGATAGAAGAACTTGTTGCTGGTGGATCTCTGGAAGTTGCTCGTGCTGACTGATTGCTTTTTTGAGGTTTCCAGAGGGGCCCAGCAGAGCCCCCCTTTTGAGCTGTGTAAACTGGTTGCAGTGGGCAGCAGAGGAGGGGGAGGCTCTGGCAGCAGGGACCTGAGGTGCCACTGTGGTGCTGTGGTTTGCTGACTTGGAATGGTTTTTCCTTTGGAACAGGCATTGCAGGATCAGAGGGAGCAGGAGCGGGTGGTTGTCATAGGAAGGACTCAGGCTGTAATATGCAAAGGGGTGAGCAGGAGCTGCGGGAAGCAGGGACTGCTGACAGGTACAGCCAGGCTGTTTGGGCATCTGAAGGCTGGGCAGAATCTAGAAAGTTTAGAGAAAACTCAGAAGCGGGGATACATTTGGGGAAACCCTGCTAACAGCGCTGGGCTGAAGAAGATCCTTGATCTTGTCCAAGATAGATGGTGATTAGATTACTGCTGATCTCCCTCGTGCCTCTCTGGGGAAGAGGTTTCCTGGTATGTGATGGACATCCAGGCAGAACTCCAGAGGCTGGGTGAAGCTGGAGCGCTGATAGTGCTCTCCATTAAAATAGCTCCAATGCAGCTCTCCATTAAAATAGTTCCCCTGGAGGATCCAGGGAGCATCCACCACGTGGAGCATCTCTGTTGGGCTGATATGCCCGTTGCAGCTCCCATCTGCTGGCCTTGGTGCTGGGCTGAGTGGTGGGAGGGTTCCCCAGCTGCTCCAACGTCATGGCGGCTCTTCCTGGAGGTGGTGCAGGAGGATGGAGGTGCCTGCTGGAGGGTTACTGCTGCTTGTGACCCTTGCTTTTGGTGATTTCAAGGTGTTCTGGAGCAGGGAAGGGATGCTGGGGCTGGGCTGGAGCCTCTGCTGAGATGATGGTTGTGCAGGGGGATCAGTGCTCCCACGCCTAAGGAAGAGGCGGTGGGCACTGTTCCCTGCCTGCTGCAGGGACTGGGACTCCAGACCCACAGATGTGAGCTTTGGGTTGTGGCGAGGCTGGAGATGAAGGAGAAGTATAATTCTGGGTACAGGCGAGGCTGCTGGAGCAGAGAGGGTTTTTGTTAATGATTGATGGTGAAAATCACTCTAATAAAATGTGCAGTCCTCCTGAGTGGGGATGATGATGATGGACAGAAGTGGAAGGAGCAGCCACCATTTCCTGGTTTAGTGGTTTGGCTGAGGCTGTGTGGTTTGCAGTATGGGCACTGGGTTGAGGCTGGGGGCTGACCATGTTCCCTGGGAGCCCTGTGCCCGCTATAGCTGGCGTGACCCTTCAGGAGAATGGAAGACAGGGCAGGAACATCTTGGCAGTGGCATCCTTCCTGCCTGGGCTGCACGATGCTTCACTGCTGTAGCATGAGCCGGCACATCTTTCCACCTTGTGTGGGATCTGCAGCATCTTGTGGGGACACGTTAGAGTGAGCTCTGCAATGGCTCCTACTGCTCTCCAAACCCTGCTGGGCATGGTGGGGACCAGCACAGATCCTTCTCCATCTGCTTGGTCTGCCAGGCCCTTCCCCACAGAGTGGACAACGGACTGGCCCTGTGTGGTTCACCTGAGCCAGGTGGATGACCTGAAGGTGTCTTCTCTGCCTGTTTGGATTGGGCACAAGGAGCACTGGGGTGCTGTGGGGAAAGGTGCGAGGAGGGACCTTCTTGCATGTGGACACCTGAACCTCGGGCACAGCGTGCTTGAGGATGGTGTTGAGGATCTGCCTGGGGACATCTCTGTCCTGTGCCCGCCAGGACCGGTTGCTGCCGTTCTTGCTGTGAGCGCAGGGTCAGTGCCGTAGGGTGTGGGAACGGCCGGCCAGGAAGCTCCTGGGCGTGTGTCTTTCCTGTGAGAGCCTCCTTGAACTGAGTCATCTTACGCGATGCCAGTGCTGTCCACCCCCTGCTCCCTCCTCCCGTGCCACGAGTGCAGCCGTGGGCTCCCTGCCTGGCCCAGCCATGCCCCGTGGGCTGCGGACCAGACCCTTCTTGGAGATAGTGCTCTGTTTACTTTTGGGTTTGGCTTCAGCACCTACCGAAAGCCAAGCTGCCAGGTGTGTAAAACTGGGGGAATTTTGCACCTGATAGAATGAACTGAATTTGGTTAAACCCAGCAATCTCCTGAGGGGACCCCAAATGCGCTTTATGTCCAGGGCAAGAAACTTGTTTTTAAAGTGAAGGATCTCCCAAGATACTCTCTGGGAACCTCTTTATAGAGTGGAGCATCTTGTGGGGGCAGGTAGAATGTTTCTAGGCAAGATGGGGTGAAGAGCCCCAGCTCTGCCCTGGGATCTCGGTGTCTGAACTGTGAATGCTCTTGGAGAGCTGTGGTCTGTTGCCTTCACTGGTGGGCAGCGTTTTTACTGCAGCCATTTGCCAGAGCCCAGTGATGATCTGGTTATTCACCTTAATTTTCCTTTGATTTTCTTTTTTTTTCTTATTGTTGGCATAAATAATAGAGTGAGACTAGCCTCAGAACTGCAGCAGGGATCTGGATGTGCATTGCCATGGCAGATAGCGCTCTGGGCAGATAACACTCTATGGCAGATAACACATGGTTTGAAAAACACTCCTATGCTCAAGCAGGATGTGTGTCCAGATGCCAGCAGTGCCCAGCTGCTCCCTGAAGGACTAGTCTGCACCAAGAGCTGCCCTGGGGTGGTGGCTTTGCAGTCGGGCTTTTGCTTTGCACCCAAATTATTTCCAATCTCACAGAGCTTGTGCTGTGTATGAGCAGGCGATGCCTCCGTACCCAGGCGCTAGGATCAGCAGGTGGTCAGCAGCATCCTTTGTGACATGGAGCACGAGCAAAGCATGGAAATGCCTGGCCTTTGTCCGAAGTGGAGGAGCCTGGGGCACCCTGGGAGCTGCCCTGCCAGCAGCTGTGGCCTTCTCCTGCACTGGGGAGCAGCTGTGTGTCCTATGGCTGCTGCTGAGAGCCGTGCATGCTTAGGAAATGTCAGAGATGCAGTTTCCTGGGCAACCCTAATTCGGCTCCACGTGCAAGGGCATTAGGATGCACCCAGCAATGGTGTGATCCCTGCTGTTTACCTCGTTCCTGGCACTGGCTGGAGCCTCCAACCCCTCAGCCTTGGGGCTCACGGTAGCAGTTCTTGTGTGCTTGCTTGTGCATACCAAGGTTGTGATGCTCCTGGAGACAGGAATTGCCTCCCCACCTTTTCTGTGGCTTTTTGCTGTAATATCTGACCATTTAAAAAACAGGTGGGTTTATGTTCTCAGCATGCTACAGTTGGGAGACCTCACTCCTATGAAGTGGCATCCTTGAGGCAGTGAGCCATTTGCTCTGGGTCCAACCTAAGCCCAGCAAACCACATCCTCTGCCTGCAGAGCCTGTATAGTCTCTCTGAGTGCCTCTGCACTCCTCTGTGAGCAAAATATCCAGTTTTAGGGGTCTTGACAGAGACCTGTTAGGATTCTCTACCATCTTCTGCTTTCTAGACCTGGAGGCATCTGAGTGGGGGCCACTCTGTGAGCTAGCTGAAGCTTATGTGTTCCTCTTCTGAGAAGCCAGACCCAAATGCTGAAGGAATATGCTTGGAAATAAGGTTGGGCTTGATGATCTTGGAGGACTTTTCCAACCTTAATGATTCTCTGACAGAGCAACTACTGCAAGCAGGGGAGCCTCTCAGGCTTGTCTTCCCTGAAGCTGCTCTGTGTGTATGGGGCAGAGAGAGGGTCCAGGACTGGCACCGGCAGCCAGCCAGGTCTAGCAAAATGCATCTAGGAACACGGGGTTCATGGCAGGTTTGAATGTGGGCAGGTTGGGCTTGGGGCTGGAGGAATGGACAGCTAACCCCTTTTTGAGCCCAGAAGGGTCAACAAATCGCATTTCACAGCCCCCAGCATGCTCGAAGCCATGAGAGCTCTCTGCAAAGGGTGAGTGTTGGGCATGGTCCTGCCTGTTTGCCTGCCTTGCCTATTGAGCCATTTTAGGGGATTTGTGTGTGTAAGGAGGCTGGGGCTCGCTACATGAGCTCACTTGACACGAGCATCTGTGTGAAGGTACTGTCACTGGCACTGGACTGTGCTCCACAGATGTGGTGCAGCGAGAACCTCTTTGCAGCTTTTGAGGCGTGGGAGCAGCCCATGGGATCTCCCAGGTGTTTGGAACAGCACTGCTGATCTGCCCTTGGGATCTCACAGGCAGCAGGTGGGAACCAGGTCCTGGTGACCAAGCAGCTGCAAAAGTCACCAGCAGCTTGCATTTCCCTGGGGGGGCTTTGCCCTGGTGGTAACAAGCAAAGGGCTGCAGCCCCCTGGGCTTGGTGTTGCCCCTTGGTGTCCCTGGTGCTTGGCAGGGCCTGAGCGATGCCACGTCGTCCCTTGGATGATGAAGGTGAGAGCAGATTGCAAAGCCAGGGGCCTGGTGCCTCGCTGGCACCAGGCTGCGGCTCGGGTAGAGCTGGTGCCCCTAGCAGCTGTCTGTCCTGCTGCTGCCTTGCCAAGAGGTGAGAGCATCTGCTGCCCCCCCTTTCTGCTTGCCCGGGGTGGCTGTGAGCCCTGTGGCTGGCGAGGTGTGCTCTGGGGATGATCTGCTTGCTCGTGCCCTGGTATGGAGGGACCAGATTTGGAGGGCTGACTCAGGTCCCCACTGCATTGGCTGCCCAGGGAACTGGGATGTTTAGGGAGGAGGTGGTGAGCCGGGCACAGAGAACCATGTTCCTCCTGTAGCTCATAGGGATGTGAAGGCTCGGGGCTGCATGGAGGTGTTTACAGCTCCAGTTCCTGTTCCCTTTTCCTGCTGGGTTTTGCTGCTACAGGCTATTGTTGGGCGTTTTGCACAGGAAGGAGGGAGAAGTGTTTTGTTTTAAGCCGATTATTGGAGCTGCAGAGGAATGTGTGAGCAGCCTTGATCTCCAAGGCTGTCCAGGAGCAGGGGCAGCATGGCAGTGAGGATGGAGCCTGGCACCAAGTGGTAATCCCACCAGCCGCCAGGCCAGTTTGGGACATTGATTGTTACTGTGAGACATCTGCATAGCCTGTGTTGTGGTAACAAAGGCTGGGGCTTTGCATCCGAGTGGACAAGGTGCTTGGGTGCACTTGGATGCTGTTGGAAGTATTGCCTGGCCCCATCTTGGGAGCAGGCTTTGGGGCTGGAGGTGGGATGTACAGCTCCAGGCTTCTTGTGGACTGCAGCATCATGTGATGGGGTGCCCTGGCCGGCAAGCTGCTGAGATACTGGAGCAGACATGTGGCTCCAGTGCTGGAAGGGATTGAGCTGTGGGACGTACTGCATGTCCTACTGCAGGATTGTCTCCTTTCCACTAGAAAGTGCAGACCTTGGGAATTCTGTGCCATCCCTGTGATATGGCACTTGAGAGGCTCCTGGTCCTGCTTTCCAGAGGAAAGCCCTGTCTTGTGTTATTTGGGGCGCATCTGGGGATGGTGCAGGGGCCTGGGAAGGAGCGGAGAGGAAGCTATAAGCTGTTCTTAGCCCTTTTGTCAGAAAACCTCTTCAAACATGCCCACAGGCACCCTGGAAAACAACCGGTGAGTTCCCAGTCGTGCCAGTGCCAGCTGACGCCCCTGTTCTGGGATCTGTGCCCCTGCTCCACCTTGGGAGAGGAAACGTGGCTGTGTGCACGGAGAGATCTGTGTGCTGTGGGGGTACGGCCCTGCCAGCAGCCCTGTGCCACACCGGGACCCAGCCGGGTGTCTTCGTGGGCACTGTGAGTGCTGAGCCCCATCGTGAGGGAGGGGGCCAGGCCGCCTTCTGCTCTGCTTGGCTCCATCCCAGCTTTTGGGACAAAGGCTGGAGCATTTCCATGGCCGAGTGCCGGTGCCTGGAAAGCTGTCAGCTGCCAGCACCTGCTCTGGGGGCTGCCATGATGCAGGTTTGGGCTCCTGGCAGCCACTCTGGCTGCTGCTAGCAGAGCTCATGGTGAGCTCCCTCCCCCCCCCCCAGAAAAGGCAGGGACTGCCCTAACCTTTCTCCTACCCTTCCCCTTTTCCAGCTGGCTGTCCTGGAGGACTACGCAGATCCCTTCGATGCGGCGCAGGTGGCAGGTAGCCAGACAGGGCTGGAGAAGGTGACTGAGAATGATGGATATATGGAGCCATATGAAGCCCAGAAGATGATGGCTGGTAAGGTGGAAGGCTCCATGCAAGGGCCGCTCTTTGCACCTCTCTTTGGTCGTGCAAACTCCCTCAGTTTAGTTGTCACTGTACTCTGTTCCTTGCAGCCTGTGACAGCACCAGGTCTCCCAGATAAGGCAAACCTGGGCGATCACTGTGATGGGGAACAGCTACTTTGTAGGCAGATTTTCCCATTTTTATCCATGTGCATTGGGTTTGACAGAGCCAGAGCACTCAAAGGCTGCCTGGGCCACACAGGCACATCTCTCTCTCCCTGCGATGCTGCCCCCTGAGACCCCACTTGCCAGGCTGAGCCAGGAGAGACCTGACATTCCATGCATCTAGCTTAAAACTAAGATGGATATGGGAGCTATTTAATTCTGTTAGGACTGGGCCAGAGCATGCTGTGTCTGCCGCAACAGCAGGGTCCCCAGTGGGCCTGTTTGGGGCTGGGAAGGCAGTGAGGTGGGAGCATGTGCTCCTGAAGGCAGTGCTCAGGATCACCATGCTGGCTCATGTGTTCCAGGCTCTGCTCAAGCACAGGCTCTGGCTCTGCTTTGCAGCTCTGTGGTTTTCCTGGAGCAAGTGGTTTCTGGAAAGCTCATGTGGCTTTTTGGAGTAGACCATTGTATTTCTTGGAAAAATCAGCAAGCAGTGGAAAGGCTGCTTGTGCCTGTGGAAGAGACTTTGTTTTGCATGAGGGAAGGGTGTTTTATTAAACCAGCCACACTCCCCTGGGTGTCCAGGGGAGAAACCCAACCTAGCTGCTTGCAGGAAATCAGGCTCTGGGATGCTCTGTCCCCATGGATCCTGCTTTGCAGGGCTGCCCAGGGGTTAGAATGATGATGTACTATGGAGATCTTAGTACTGTGAACTGCTCAGGCCCTGGCTGCCCAACAGCTCCCCTGCTTTTGGCAGGTGCTTGCTGAAGGTTTGGGGGGGGTCTTGTCTATCACTGGCACTCCCTATCCCATTTCACCTCTGGGTGACATTGAGCCCTGTCATTTAGCTGGGCTTCAGGGACTGTGGCCAGGCTGTGTTGAACAGAAAGCTCATAGTCTTTTCCCTCTTCTACTGCCAGAGATCCGCCAGAAGGGCTTACGGGAGGCTCCTGCCCGGCCGCTGCACCTCTACGACACTCCCTACGAGCCTGTGCTGGACATGGACAGTGAGCGCCCGGCCTGCCCCAGGCCCAGGGAGTCCCGGCTGCCCGAGGACGACGAGCGGCCACCAGAGGAGTATGACCAGCCCTGGGAGTGGAAGAAGGAGCGGATCTCCAAAGCCTTCGCAGGTGAGTGATGGGAGCAGCCATAAAGCAACCAGCACTTTTTGTGAAGCTGGATTCTTGGGGTTCCTTCATCTTCTGGGGATCAGTAGTGTTGGCGTCTGTATTTCTGTGGCCCAGAGAGTGCTTGTGCACTTGCAGAAGCTGTTTCTCTGAGCAGGGAGCCAGGCTGGGCAGAGTGATGGATAGGACTGCCTTGGCTCCCTTTGCCTCTTCCCTGCCCTGACTGATCACAGCCTCTGGTGCAAGTTAACACCCCCAACCTTGGATTGCAGGGGAGAGGCTCGGCCCTGGGCTCAAGCAGATCCCTCCTTCTTGGGAGCGGGATCATCCCCAAGGAGCCTTCGGCCAGGCTTTGTCCAGCCTCCCTGACCTATTTATCCGTGCTGCGGGATCGATTGTGTTTGTGTTTGGTAATGAGGAAATCCATGCTGTGCATTAGTGCTGGCTCCTCCACCGGTGCTGGCTAATTGCCACGCTCTTATCTAGGATGCATTTTAATTGCAGCATTGTGTGTCTGCTGCAGCTGGCGTGCAGGGCGCTCGGACTGGCAGCGCTGTGTGGAGATGCTGGCAGAGAGAGATGTGGAGATTTGGGCTCGAGGAGTGGTTCACCTTTTGGGTTTGAGCACTGCAAGCTGGAGATGTGTGTTCTGGGTTCAATGGCACAGTGTCTACTTGTTCCTGGGGTCACTGTGCCAAGGATTCGGCTTGTTGGGCTCCATCACAGAACATGGTGCCCTGCTGGGCTGGGTTTGTGCTGAGGTGTCTATGCTCTAGATCTGGCCAGATGAGCCACCTTGCTCCATGTCCCTGGGTGGAAGCGGTGTGTTCTCAGGTCTGGCTCACATGTGGATGCACATGAGCACTGCCCAGGGCGCTTCAGGCCTTGCTCTGAGTCCCGAGGGAATCAGGTTTCCATGCCCTAGGCCATGTTGGGACCTGCTGCCTGTTTTTTCCTGAAGCCAGAGCAGGTCCTGCTGTATCTTGGAGGATATTTTTCCCCTCCTGTGATGCCAAAATCTCTCTGCTGACCCATTCCCCCTTTGGGGGGACCCCTGGGACCTCTGCTGGTGGACATTTGGTACCGGAACAAGACTGCAACCCATTGGTGCCTGGCAGGGAAATGTGGATCCTGTAGGTGGCTGGGAAGCCCCCAGGGCAAGATGAATGCATGGGCAGGACAGATGGCAATGGGATGTTTGGCCAAGGTCCCTCTGAGGGACATGTATGTGTAACGGGGTGATCACAGCCTCCCCCACACCCCAGAGAGGATTGGCTGGAAAAGCTGATGGAGGAGCAGGGTCTCTCCATCAGGAATGTGCCCTGCCTCAGGCCTGTTCCGACTTGGTGCTGTGAAGGGGATGAGACGGCCAAGCTAACATGAGGCTCCTGGGAATTTAGTCCTCAAGTCTTTCCCCCAACAACTGCTCTCTTTCTCCATGGGCCCTCTGGTGTTGCTGATGGTTTTTTCTAAGCCCTTTCTTTCTCTCTTTCTCTTTCTCTTTCTCTCTCTTTCTCACCCCCGCCCCCTCCTGCCCCCAATCCAGTTGAAATCAAGGTCATTAAAGACCTGCCATGGCCCCCGCCGGTGGGACAGCTGGACAGCGGTGAAAGCCCCCCGGATGGCGAGGCCGGTGCCCCCGTCCCTCCGCAGCACGGCCAGCACAGCTATGAAGACGCCAATGGTGGGTCTTGCGTGACAGGGGGGTGTCCGGGGGGGCTACGCTGGCACTTGCTGTGACCCTGCCTCGCTGCCACGCCTCAGGGCTTGCCCAGGGCACTGCCAGACACCCACCCTCCTCCTCTGACCTCCCCCAGCCCCTCCTGGCCCCTTCAGTTGTCCTGTGCTGGACACCAGACATTTGTCCTCGCCTCTCCTGCACCTTCTCCAGCTTTACTGTGCCTCTTTGCTTGCAGCAGGAGATTATTTGGTGGCAGAGTTAGTACCGTCTCTTTTGTTCTCCCCTCTTTGCCTCCAAATTCGCAATGTTTGATGGCTGCCTTTATGGTTGTCTCGACAACTGTTCTGAGCATTTAGCTGATGTTTTCTTGCAACTCATAATGCCCAGGTCCCTTACAGGTGTGCTAGCAGCTAATTCAGGTCCCAGCGCACTGAAGTTGGGGCTGTTTTTTTCCCTCTTCATCATTTAGCGCTGCTCTGTTTCCTCTGCTGTTTTATTACCTTGCTGCTCAGTGGCAGGAGGTCCCTCTGGATTCTCCGCTCTCGCTTTTGCTATCCTGAGCAGCCAAATCTCCCAGGTACACTTTGTCATCTCAGGTTTGCCTTGTTGTGAAGGCTTTTTTGTGTGTGCCGAGCACAGAGCCCCTAGGCAAATCCCCCTTGGACACTGCCAGCAGTCTCGCTTATGAAAGCCAAATATTGCTGCTTGCCTTTTAACCCTTTATTAATATTTTAAGGACCTCGCTCTTATGCTGTGGTAGATTAGGATTTTGCCAAGAGCATTAGGTGGGGGCAGTGTGCTGAAAGGCACGACGGGGTTGTTACCGGGGGGAGCTGGGACACGAGGCGTGCCGTTCCTCTGCAGCAGCAGCGTGCCGTGCCTGCCCATGCGTCACTAACGCTGTCCTGGTGGGCACTGCGACGTGCCAGGTGCGGATGGCTGATTTCCTTATCTGCAGTTACCCAGATCTCTGCAGAGCTTTGTAGAATAAAACCAGTGTGGCTTTTGCTGCCTCCCAGGTGGGTTTGAGCATGAGGCTGCAGGTGACAGCTGATTTTGCTGCTGATAGTAGGGACACTCCAGAGCGAAGTGACTGCTCTGCCACGGCTGTGTTGGGTATTTCCCTAATCTGTAGGGATGCTGCAGGCTGAGATCAGTCCTGAACAAGAAAGGTCTTGGCAGGTGGGAACTTCCTGATTCTCTTCCTGCAATGACTGCAGGTGTCAAGAAAAATTAATCTCTTTGCTATGCAGCCTCTTCTCTTCCCCTGTCATTTATTATCCCCACAGTCACTCTGATGTGCATCTTGCTCCTGATGAACACATCAGTTTGTCGTTTTTCCTGAGTTTAGCAACACAGAGTCTCTTTTTTTTTTCCCCTGACTTGCCTTGCTTTGTTGTGTTAAGTTTATCTTGCCAGAGTTTTGTCTCATTTTCTACTTCCCCTGTCTGGGGGTGACTTGAACGTCTTGAAGGATGTCTTCTTCCTCCTAAGGGCTTGTTTTTAATATCCTGTTTAATCATGCACATGCTTCTGCCTCCCTCTGACAGGTGCAATGCATTTCTTCTGAGCCTGTAACGCAATGACTTTGTGCCGCCAGCGAACACTTGGGCTGTTTGATTGTCTGACTTTTTAACGATTGCCCCAATTTTTTAAGGTGATGAGTTGAAATTGAAGCCAGGGTGTGATGTACGAGGGTGAATGTGGCCTGCGAAAAGCCAGAGCACTGCAGAGGCAGTGCTTGTCAAGGCTTAATGTTGGACACCACCTCCTCCCTGAGCTGCTGCTCAGGGGGGTTTAAGCCGTGCTAAGCTGCAGAGGATTTTGACTGGGTTTGCTTTTGGCTGCCTTCCCCTCCTCGCAGAGCTGAGGGGTGGAGTCCTGCTCACGTGCGTGGGGCCCAAACAGCCACCCTAGAAGATGCCCTGCTAGATGCCCTGCTAGAAAGGAAAACATCCCTCTTGGGGTATTTTTTACCTCTCCCTCCAGCAGCCAGGAAGCATGGTGAGGAGGGAAGTTGTCCAGTCTGGGACATCCCAGTTGTCCTGGGAGCTGCAGCTCCTGGTCTCGGCCACCTGCAGTGTGACTGTGCCGCTACAGCATCAGCCCCCCGCAGCCCCACACCGAGGCAGCTCTGCCCGATCGATAAGTAATTTGTGCGAGGGGGCTGGTGGTGCCGGGGAGCAATAATGAACTCTCGTGAGGAGGGAGAAACAATATTGTTAATGCTGAAATCATCCTGTGTGGAAATAACAGGCAGCGGGCGGCTGGTCCCCAGGGCACGGCTCGGTCAGTCCCTTGTGCTTGCTGGCACTGGTGCGCAGGGGCCGTGGCTGGGCTGGTGCCAGGCAGATGGCTGCATCAGGGAGGTACCTGCAGTCAAAATATCCCCTTCCCACCTCAAGGAATTGTTTTCTCACCCCAGCTTTACTTGTGCCAGCAGAAACGTGTCCATCGGTTCCAAACCGTCTGCTCCCTTTAGCTCCATCTATCCCCTCCTCTTTTTTTTTTTAACTTAATTTTTCCCCCCAAGATTGGGGAGCCTCTCCTTGCTGCATCTCACTTAATTCTGTGCCGCAGCTGCTGAATCTATGGTTGCATTAGCAAAACCTCCTGAGCTTTTGAGACCTCCCTGGAAATATTTTTCCATGGGCTCAGACCCTGGCCCCAGGCTTGGTGTGGTGGGCACCCAGCCTGGGCACTGCAGTGAGTAGCAGCCCAAGAGCTGCCCTTCCCTTGCTTAGAACAAGTGGATGGGGCAGCATGAGGGAATCCAGTGTGATGTAAAGTGTCTCTGGCTCTTCCCTCAGGGGGAAAGCTGGGACCCGGCCTGTCTGCCTGTTCCTGCCCCAGCCGTGACACGGGTCTGTCTTGCAGGTCCGTCGGAGGGGCTGGGCTACGGCCGCACCTCGCCCTGCAGGGAGGAGAAGGCCAGGGCTGCCCTCAGACACGGCCCCAGCAGCCTCAAGAGCACGAAGACGCTGATGGCTGAGCCCGGCCCCTTTGTCGGGGAGAGGATTGACCCTGCCCTACCCCTGGAGAGCCAGTGGTGAGTCCTGCCTGCCCCAAGTGGCTGCCTGACCCCTCCACCTGCCTCATGGATCCCTGTGGATCCATGAGGAGCCCTTGGGGAGACCTGCTTCTTCCTTTCGTCCCCGGCCCCACATTTCTGCCTGTTTGTCTCTGCCCCTTGTCCCCCAACCCCGGTGGTGCCCCCCCATCCCGCTCTGTCCCCGGAGTGCTGGCATTGCTGCTTTCCCAGGGCAGAGCCCTTCCTAGGGTGTCTGCTCTGTACCTGGCACAGCTGATCCCTCTCCCCGCTCCAGCTGGTACCACGGGGCCATCAGCCGGACGGACGCGGAGACGCTGCTGAGGCTGTGCAAGGAGGCCAGTTACCTGGTGCGCAACAGCGAGACCAGCAAGAACGACTTCTCCCTCTCCTTGAAGTGAGTGAGCAGGGGCTGGGGGGTCGTGGACCCACAGTAGGGGTGACCCAGTGCTGTGGGTTGGTGCCCCGAGTAAACTTGTGCCCATGCCGACTGAGTAACTCTCGACCACAAGTGGTCAGAAATGGGTGGAACATGAAGTCCACACTTTTCTGTGGTGTGGCACAGGCTTCTGTTTTGGTGTCTGGCAAAAGCATCTCTTGGGAAGGCTTGGAGATCTGGAGGCCCACTGCTCTTCCTTGGCAGTGCTAGTAATCCTTCAGATGGATCAAATGATCTGCCTCACTGCTCACTTGAATGTGTCTGGTTACCACTTTCAGCTCTGCCTTCTTGTTCCCCCTTTTTTTGTAGTTTAGTTTCATGGGAAAAGAGAGTTCGTGTGATCCTGCTGTAGATGGAAATGTGGGTACCCATCCCTGCCACCCCAGCCCACAGATTCATTGAAGCCATTGCTCAGCCTCATTGTAGAGAAGGGGGTTTTCCCTGCTCTGGTTTGCCAGCAGGGATACCCCATCCCCACAGCATGGCTTGGCTTCTGCTTGGGGTTTTCTGGGGGTTCTTCACATCTTCCCCAAGTTTTCCAGGTTCCCTGAATGCCAAAATTGCGTGAAGCATTGCTGCAGCTCCTCATCCAGCTCTTTCCTGGCTCCTGGGGCAGTGCAAACCCATGAAATCAAAGCTGTTACTGTCTGAAGATGATGATGGATGAGCAAATACCTTCTTGCCCTTCTGCTGGACAGCCATATTAGCTCTGTTCTGCCAGATGGGAAACAAGTATTTATGGAGCACTTCAGCCATCTCTGCCCAACAAGAGGCCTCGAATCCCTGTGCTTTTCTCAATATACTTTGAGTTTCCCCAGTGGTCTCTCTTACCTGCATTGTTCCCCAGGGGTTTTGGCCTCCCTGTTTATTTCCCACTGGCACAACTGTGAATTAGATTGCTCTGTCTCTCTCCACGTTTTTTTGTTTCACTCTTTTTGCTGCCTTTCACACCGAAACAGGGCAGAAGTTCCACTGAAAGTATTCTTTCTTCCTTCTGCACTCGGAGCTTTCAGATTAGCCAACAACCCTTTCCAGAAAAGCTCCCTCCTTTCCTTTTTTTTATGTCAGAATTTTTACTGATGTTTTAATTTTGAGCCATTTTGGAGCAACAGCTTCTTCTGGTTGATGAGCTGTATTTGAGGGTGCGAGAGGTGTCACCATCACCTTGTGAGTGGCATTAGCCAGCACGTGTGTTGGAGAGCCTGGGAGGTGATATTCCATCACCAAAGGTGGCTTTCCATCACCTCTCCACAGGCCAGTCACCCATTTCTTGGTGGTTTTTTGCTTACTTCTTGCCACCCATCCTTAGCCTTGTGGCAAAATGCTCCTCTCAGGTGGCTAGCACTGGCTGTGCAGCAATGTGCCACCTCCCCAGGGGACACTGCAGCCCATCCAGGAGCTACTTGGGCATTGCCTGTCCTTGCCCACAGCCTCGGGAGCAGAATTTTTACTCCACTGCCTTTCTCTGTAGAGTCTGTTCAAGGAAAATCCCCTGGGATGCTTTTTATATAGCTGTAAGCTGGCTGTCTGCAGCTCTATTTTTTTTTTCAACTTTTCTTTTTTTTTCCTTGAGTAAGGAGGCACAGCTGAGGAGATGGTCTGAAAAGAGCTCCTGATGCTGACCTGAAGCTCTTTTGTGCTGATTTAAAGAAAAATATGCACAAGAGAGAGCAGCAGGAGCAGGTCAGGCAGCCAGAAGGACTTAACCCTGCTGTGACAGTCTTGGCTGGTTCAGGCTAGGCAGCCCCACGCTGCCTGTCATGGACAGGGTTATGTCATTGCCTCAGATGCTTGGAGGATGATTCCCTCCTGGCTTGTGCCTCCATGAGAATGGCTGAGGCCACGCTGCAAAGGTGGGGTCCTTCCTTATGTCTCCAAGGTGCTCGGCAGGAGCAGCACTTGCCCCTTGCCCTGTCTGCTGGGGTTTGCAGAGTGTTCCCTCACGCTTCTCTCCAGGGGTGTGCTTTCCACATCCCTGAGCTCATGACAAAGACCTGTGGAGCGATTTGGGCAAAACACAACCGACATCACCTCTCCGTGGTCCGTGTGGCAGTGCTCTGGCTGGGGACACAGGATGTGGCCAGGCTATCACTTTTCCTTGGCCCCTGATGGGGGGCTGTGGCTGTCCCCTCTGCCATCCCCTGGGACAGCTGGCTCCTTGCTTCTGTCTCTAAATGGATTGCAAACCCATCCTGCTAATGCAGCCAGGCTGTCCATTACGGCCCATCTCCAGTCGGGGGGATGGGGCCGGGCTGTGCAGTGCTGGAAGCAGCTCAGCATCGCTGATGAGGCCCTGTCTGCTTTTAAGTCATCAATATTTTGCTGTAATGTGCATTCCAGACGCTGCAGACAGGCTGTGGCTCTCCTCGGAGACGCAAATTAATAGCAACAGGGCCATTAGCCCATCACTTGGAATCAGCGTTCATGGCAGGATCTGCCTGCACAGCCTGGTGTGGCTCGGTGCCCGTGCTGTGCCGGGAAATGGCCTCGCTACGCTGAGCGGGTTTTATGGAGCCTGCAGCAGTGGTGTGGGGAGGGGGAGCAAGGAGAAAATCCTTCGGCTGCTGGCCGAAGGAGAAAATCCTGGTTTGCCGCGGTGAGGCTGGAGATCTGTGAGCTGAAGGGGTCCTGTGTGAGCCAGGGCAGTTGCAAAAGGGACTTTTCCACATGTAAAGGGTGAAAGCTGCTACCTCTGTGTCAGCCTGCAGTGAGAGCTGCTGTTGGTCCTGCCCAGGTGATGCCCTCAGTTACCTGCCCACACACACCTACCCCAGCCTTGGCACCGTCCTTGCCCCCACATGGATCCCACACACCCCACTGCATGGGGACAGGAGCCAGCAGTGTCCCCCTCAGCTGCAGGGGCACGCTGCCTGTCTCAGGTAAGGGGGTCAGGAGCTGAGGGGAGGCTTGGGCCAGCTGTACCCCCTAACCCTACCTTGATCTGCCCTTGCAGGAGCAGCCAGGGTTTCATGCACATGAAACTGTCCCGGACCCAGGAGAACAAGTACGTGCTGGGTCAGCACAGCCCGCCCTTCGACAGCGTGCCGGAGATCATCCATCACTACGCCAGCCGCAAGCTGCCCATCAAGGGGGCCGAGCACATGTCCTTGCTTTACCCGGTGGCAATCCGTACCCTATAGTACTCACCCCCCACGAGCCAGGCTCGAGGCCGGGTGTACCCAAAACCAGCCCATGCGCAGGGCCGAGCGCTGCCATGCCGAGGATGGGCTCCGGACCGTCAGCCCACGAGCAGCTCGCTGGGCACGGCCGGTGCCGTTGGGGGATTGCTGCAGCCGGACCCCTCGTCCTGCTCTCTCGGAGGGCTCCCGTGCACTGGTTTGCCCACTGGCATGGCACCGGAGGGACCCCCTGTGCGAGGAGCTGAGTGGGGCTCGCCGGCTGCCCGCTGCGTGCGCCTGCCTCCAGGCAGAGCTCAGGACACAAGGACTGGAGCTGGGGCCTGGGAGACGCTGGGGAGGGGGGCAGTGTGTGCGAATACGGGGATAAATAATCCAGTAGCAGGCCTGAGGTGCCTCTGTGAGGGTGCCTGGCACTGCCCATGAGAGACAAAAGGGCTGTGGGCGAGGAGGCTGGTGGAGGCAAGCGGGGCCTGCCCGGGGCTAGCGAGGCGCAGGGGGCTGGGCAGGCTGGCCCTCGCCTGCACAGGTGCTCGGTACTCAATACCATCCTTTGCCAAATGTAAATAGAGACCAGCCTGGGCTGCGCATGCAGCACCACTGCCTAATAAAGCGGTGCATGGTCACCTCCTGCTCCACGGGGACTGTGCCCGCATCCCACCTCGAGTGGGGCAACTGTGTGGCAAAATGGCAGGGAGGGGCATTTTGTTACACAAAAGCTCTAAGTGAAGTGATTTTTCCTGTGCTTTTGCATGCACTGAGACCCTCTGTGCCTAAGCAATCAGCTGACTCCTCCGAGACACAGGGGACAAGGGTGGTCACGTCCTTGCGATGTCTTTGAGACCCTTCATGGGCAGTGATGAGCCAATTTTGGATATGCCTGTTACTCCCTATAGAAGGGGGTGCTCTTCAGGATCTTTTGGCTCCTTGTTTTCCTTCACCTGTTGTAAGTCTGAGGCAAAATCCCTGAATTTCACAGATTTCCTGATCTCTTCCTCTGAGTATTTACTGATTCCAGTCCTGTTCTTTGTCTTCCTGACACCTTGTCTTTGGGCCAGCTTGCTCCTCTTTTTTCTGGCTGAAGCTCTATCTGGTGTTCTTTACTGCTTCATGCATACCTTGCCTTTTAAACTTGTTCCTGGTGTTGCTCCTGTACCCACAAATATACATTTCCTCCATCCTTGCTTCAGCCTAAGCTTTATCCCACTGCTACTCCCCAGCAGCACATTCCCTTTCCTCTCTGCTCCCTGGATGGGGATGGCAGCTGCAAATTGCTCAGGCATCGGTGGGGTGAGTTAGCAGTGGCTTGATGAAGGCTTTGTGAAAAAGCATCATCCTCCTCTCTGCCTGCTGCCAGGAAGAAGCTGTCCCTGCTGGTTGCTGGAGGGGGACAGAGGTGATGGATGAGACCACAGGGACCTTGCGTGAGTGGGTGCTGCAGCCGCAGCAGGAATCCCGCTTGACAATCCAGGGCTCTGGGATATTCCAGGCTCGATTTGTAGCTGGAGGATGGCTGTCCTGGCTTGTCCTTCACAGTTTGGAGCTGCTGTGGGGACCATCGGGCATGGCCAGTGTGGTCTGTGAGTGCACCCCGCGGTTGAGAGCCTGCAGAGCTGTGGTGGCTTGTTCCAGGATGCCTCAGCCGCTACCACTCCTTAAAAGGCAGCGGATCGAGCTGGTTGGGCGCCTGGTGTCTCCTTACAGCCCACTTGGCTGCTGGCAGCCCTGGCTGCCTCCCTCCATCATCCCAGTGAGGCATTTTGTCCAGCAGGGACAGAGGTGACTCCAGCAGGAGGGTTTTTTCTCCCAGAGCCTGCAGGAAGGGCTGGAGATGCAGAAATCTTCAGAGATGCTCTTGGATGCCCTTGCTGCACTTAAAAGGTTTTGAGTGTCCTTTACCAGCCCCGCTGTGACGTGATGGCTCCAGTGAGGAGCTCATCCCAGAGGATCCTCTGCCTTCTCTGTGGCTGGGTAAGCAGAGGCTTCTCATGTCCGTGCAGCTGGGCAGTGGAGGCACAGGAGAGCCTCTCCATGTAGAGGGGGGCTTTTTCCTCGAGGAGCTGTGGCAGGGAGCAAACTGCCTGGCAGCCAGTGCTGGCTCTATTAGCGTGCTCACAGCCTTACAGTACAGTCCTGCCCCGGCAGCCTGGCTCCATTCCAGGAGTATCTGTGCCAGGCACAGGAATGAGAGGAGTGAGACTGTGTGCATTGCAGCAGCTCCCCAGAGCAGTCATGGACCCCAGAACTGCTCTGCAAGCTGGGCTGTGTGTCCAAGTGCTTCAGCAAAGCAGCTCTTGATCTTCACTGTGGGAATTGCATCCCTCCTCAGCCCTCTCTTCTCCAGGCTAAAGAAGTGAAACTCCTGAAGCATTTCCTTGTACAATATGTTCTCTGGCCTTGACCATCCTCACCAGGACTCTCTCCATGTACCTGGGGTCCAAAACTGGACAGAGTATCCAGGTGTGGCCTCACCAATGCCAAATAAAGGTAAATAACCCCTTCCTTTGTCTTGACCACCAAAAATAGATGACTCCAAGTCTGGGTGGTGCATTGCACCCTTGATGATGGGAGCTGAACAGCAGCTCCCCAGAAAAGTTGAATTTAATCTCTCTTATAAGGGTATTTTAGTGCTGCCTTTACCATCCTGTGACTGAAGTGAGTGTTGTGTGGGAGCGAGGTGGGTGAGGGCAGCCATCCAACAGGGCTAGAGAGGTGACAGGGATCCCCATTCATGAGGATGCTAATCTCCAACAGGGACAAGGGCCTGAGCAATCTGATGTGGCTTTGAGGTTAACCCTGTTGGGAACGTGAAGATTGACCAAAGGCCTTTGTTTGTAGCAATTCCCAATCCCCTTGTCCCAGCAATGCCCCGTGTCCTCCCAGCTGCCTCTGTTCTCTGTCCCTCCTCCCGGCAAGTGAAACAGCCCTGTCATTCATTGCCTGATCTCTAGTCTCTCACTAAGCTCTCCATAATCAGCGAGCTGGTTTAACATACTACAGGCCCCGGTAATGAAGGAAGGAAGTTTGTTTTCTAATTGGATTAGCACTGCTGGGAACATGCAGTGTCAGGGCTGAGCTGGCTCGTGCTGCTCTGACTGGGTGTGGGCCAGCTTGGAGCTGTGCTTCCCCTTGGACTTCCCTGACCAAAATCATGCTGAGAGGTCTGTATCCTATGAAGACAGGTTGAAAGAGTTGAGGCTGTTCAGCCTGGAGAGGAGAAGGCTCCATAGAGACCTTAGAGCCTCTTCCAGTGCCTATGGGGGCTCCCAAGAGAGCTGGAGAGCGACTTAGGACAAGGGCCTGGAGGGACAGGACAAGTGGGAGTGGCTTCCCACTGCCAGAGGGCAGGGTTAGATGGGACATTGGGAAGTAATTGTTGGCTGTGAGAGTGGTGAGGCCCTGGCCCAGGTTGGCCAGAGAAGCTGTGGCTGCGCATCCCTAGAAGTGTTCAACGCCAGGTTGGACGGGGCTTGGAGCAACCTGGGATAGTGGAAGGTGTCCCTGCCTATGGCAGGGGGGTGGAATGAGATGAGCTCTGAGGTCTCTTCCAACCCAAACTATTCTGTGCTTCTGTGAAAACATACAGTCGTGCAGGATGGAGGCAACCAAGAAGGATAAAGGACTGACTGAGGGCAGAATTGGAGCTTGCCCTGCTGGGAACCTGGGCTGTGTTTGCTGAACTCTGTCCCTAATGTCTCCCATCTGCTGGAAATAAAGTGCTCTGGTTAGTGTCAAGCCTGAAATCACCCGTCCCAGTACAAGCCATCAATGCTGCTGAGCACCTCAGAGGCTGGAGAGAATCACCAGCAACTGATCTTTGTGGGACTGGGTTAAACTTTCAGATGTGTTTAGGGTGTGCTCTGTCATCCACACCCCATTCCTGCCCCTCTGGCCTGGAGAAGTTCCCTGAAGCCCAAGCCTAGTAATTAGTTCGAAACCCCAGCCCTAGCAGGGATGCTTAAGTTTCTTGAGTATCCCTGAGAACACAGTGCCCTGTGTTCTGCCTCCAACCACAGCAATCTGCAGGAGGGTCAAATAACCCAAGAGCTCAGCTGCCGGAGTTTAGAACAAGGGAGAGAAATTTGTTCCTGATCCCTGCAGGCTGCAGTGGAATGTGCAGGGAAGCACATACATAGCACAGACGGTTCACATGGCACACACATGGCCCAACTGAATATGTCCTTTCAAATCTCCTAAAGACCAACAAGTTTGACCCAAGGGGTAAGTTTCAGCTCCTGACTTGGAAACCACCCTTGCTCAGTCCCTTCAGTACCATTCCCAGCATCCTCTCAAACCACTTGCTTGCTCCAGGTGTCCTGTTTGAAAATTGTCCCAAGACATCTGTGCTTGGATGCCTCCACCTAATTTTCAGTCTACACTAGTGAGCAGTTCTCTCTTTTTCCTTGCAAAGTTTTGGAGGCTGTCTCCAAAGCAGCATGCTCAGGCACATAAGACAAGGGGTAATGGTTTTAAGCTGAAGGAACATCAATTTTAGATTAGATATAAGAAGTATTTTACAATGAGGGTGGTGAAACCCTGACACAGGTTGCTCAGAGAGGTGGTAGAGGCAGCATTTGTGGACTCATTCAAGACCAGATTGGACAGGGCTCGGAGCAACCTGATCTAGTTGAACGTGTCCCACGGCAAGAGGTTGGACTAGATGACTTTTAAAGGTCCCTTCAAACCCAAAACTTCTAGGATTCTATGATCTTCCAGGTGAGACCACACCAGTACCTTGCTACTGATCTGTTTGTGTCCCTCCCCCAAAACATCCCAGGCATGATGATTCCATGCTCCCAACCTTACACTTCTCACTGTTGCCATTGGTGGGGTCATCCCACGACTGAGGTGGAGAACAGTGCTGGAACCATTTCTCTGCTCAGAGACACTCCTTTAATACAGCCCATCATTTACTTGGTTAGCTGGTTCCTCCTCTTGCTATATCCACAGCCATGACTTCCAGCATTGGAAAGTGGTTCATACTGGGTGCAAACCTAACCAGGCAAAATCGTCATAAAAGCACAGATTCATAGAATGGTTTGGGTTGAAGGCACCTCATTCCAACTCCTGTCATAGGCAGGGACACCTTGCACTAGAATGCTCTGCATACCCTTGTCCAAGTTAATAATAAAAAAAAAAATTGTTACATTATCCTGAGACAATGTATCTGTGATAAAGTCTGTCTCCATTTGCTTTTTTTGCCTGGAATCTGGGTTTCCTTCAGAAAAACCCTAGAAAATTATGAAAGTCTAGATATGTTTGAGTCCCTCTTTTCCATTTTCTGGTTGTGAGAGGCACATTTGCTGCATTTGCTTGCAATTTGAGCCCTATCCACGTTATCCTAAAGCTGGCCCTTCCTTCATGGGGAAAGGACATTGCTCCTTTTCTCCCTGATCTCATACAGCCCCTCCTGCATTCCCAGTGTGTCCTCAGCCAGTGGCTGTGCTCAGGCATTCTCTGCCTTTCCCATCTTGCTCAGCTGGATGACCCACACGTTGTAAATCTTCCTCTTAATTCCCACCATAAACACGTGCATGCTGAATTTTTCTCCATTCAATGGCAAGCTCCAACCTGTGCCTCTGTGGGACCAAGGGGCTCGCTGCTCACGTCCTGTCTCCCTGTTCCAAATGCCTTCTGCACATCCACAGCACACTGTGATTTACTGCCCGTGCTTTGCAGCCTCTGCACAGGCCCAGCAGGCCCTGATTTACTGCTCACACCCAGGGCTTCCTCTGCACAGCCACAGCACGTCTGGCTTTAGTGTGCTGTCTCTGACTGTGCACAGCGTGTCCTGATTCACAGGGAAGGCTCCTTCATCTCTTTGCCTCCACGAGAGCAACATCTGAGCAACCCCCAACTCTAGCTGCTAATTCATGGTAAAGATTGCAGGCTCTGTGCTGCACCTAATTCCCTTTTCCTTCTGCACATGCAGGATGTCAGAACCTCCCCTGCCCCCATTTGCTCAGTTCTTCTCATAACTGTGTCCTGCAAGGGCTGAGGTGCAGCCTGGCATCACCATCCCACGCTGTCCTGGCTCATCCTGCTCTGGAAACTGTGGACTGAGCAGTGACTGGGTGTTAAAGTCCTGCCAGAGGTAATGGAGGGTGTCTCTGGCAGGCAGCAAGACCCAGTGTCCTGCCCAATATCATTTAGGCCAGAGTCCCAGGTGCCACCAAACTGCAGCTCCAATAAGTGACGTATTTTCAGGGGATGTTTATGGGTTCCAAAGGACTTCCTCTATTGACCTGTTGGATTGGGAGAGCAAAAGGGGGAAACTGGGAGATCAGAGCCCCCAGAAATGCTTCAGAAGGAACCTTGAAGTTCAGAGGAGAAGGCTGTCAAAGTTGCAGTCTGTGCCCATCCAGGCTTACACCAAGAAATGTGGGGAAGGTGTGACCCACAGCCATGGCTACAGAGGCCTGTGAAGGAGGCACAGGAGGGGCAGGGTCTTCCATCCCTTGCCCTGGAAAGTTCTCCAGCCCTGTTTGTGATGCTGGTGACCACAGCATGCAGGCAAAGCTGCCAGCTGGAACAGGCTGGGGCTGGGAAGGAGGGAGGTACAAGTTGAAACTTCTGTTCGTTGTAGGGAAGGTGGTTCCTGTTTTTTTCTTTTTTTTTTTCCAGAAAAGGGCTGAGCTAAAAAGCACCTTGTCCTCTTCTGCTGTGACTTGTAGCTGAGCTCTCAGGTGCCACAGGCTGGGGGAAGTGGTCCAGGTGGGACCAGGGAGGTTTGGAGACCGTATCACCCACAAGATGAGGGCTCTTGCCCTTGCACTTGACTTCCAGCCTGTCCCAAAGGAATAGGTACATTATACACCAGAGCTGGCAAGAGAGCAAGCACTGAGATGTTCCTCAGTCCCCTCTGCATCACAGACCCTGCACTGCCCCGCTCGGCCGAGGGTCCCCCTGGAAGTCTAAAATTCGGGACAACCTCAGGCTCTGTGTCTCCGGCACTGTCAGCCCCTCAGACAGCCGGGTAATTCGTGCTGGCAGCTGGAAACGCCACCATCTCTGTCCCTGCTGGGCTGGTCCCACTCGGGGCCATAAGCAGCAGGATCCTTCTTCATCATCATCCGCCTCATTCCCGTCTCGGCAGCTGCAGTAAATCTGCCTGTCAGCGGGGCCTGTCGGGACACACGGTCTGGTCACCTGTGGCAGGGGATGATTTTGACACACTTGCTCGGGGTGTGGAGTGGGAGCGTCTCTCTCCTGGTGTAGGGGTGGGCCGGGGTCTCTCCTGGCGGTACCGGGGGGACACAGCGATCCCCCTGCTCTGCTCTCCCTCCGACAGCGCAGCTGGTCTGGGTGTGCTGGGACGGGAGGAGCGGGGACAGCCCATCTCTCCCTCCCCGATGGCAACAGCTCATTTCCATTTAGATAGAGGAATTTCAATCTCAGTTTGCCGGCTTCTCGTCTCGCTGCGACTCAAGACCCAAATTTTCAATTTTCTTCCCCACGCCACGCCAGATGCTCTCGGGGCTTGGGGGCGGTTGGGAGCGAAA